TGTGATAGTACACATCAGTAATTCCAGGTGAAGGATTATAGCTCAAGACCAGCCTAGGCTACATAGCACGTCTCTGTCTCTTCTCACATTGTTTCTTAATTCAGATTTATCTGATACTTCCTCACAGTTATATTCAGGCCATGTGTTCCTTGCTGGAATAATATGCAGGTGATAGAATATAATAATAAGAGTATACTTCTTAGGATATCATATCTGGCTACACGCAATGCCCATTTACATTACATTCTTGGTACTAATTTTGATTATCTGACCATTATGTTACCTGAATCATTAAAATTATGTATTTCTGTTTTTTTATGCTACCAGTAAGCGATCTGTATGGTGATGCTTTAAAACCAAACCAAAACAAAAAATCCTGCTTCTTCATCAAACCCATCTCAGCCCACTCTTACCCACAGTTAGGCATCAACTGATGCCTATACAGTCTTCATATGATGATTGTGAAATGACCGGTTTCCCGCCGCACAATCTGTCCCACACTCACAAATTGACACTCAATATTCTTCTGTGTAGCAAGAGCCTCTCTATTTCATCTTTTTTATTTATTCATCAGTGGAGACTTGTGGATGCATTTTCATCAATAATTTAGAATTCCTTAGTACCTTCATGTTTCTTGTGTAAATGTCCCGGATTTAGCCAGTGAGAGCCTTTCAAGGCAACTCCAGGGTTTGTGTGATATTCTTCTATTCCTTTTGTGAGCATTTTGTTTTGCTTTCTGGCCTAACAAAAAATACTGACGACTCTTTTTAACTTTATGCTGTCTAAACCTTCAAGTCAGCTATTTTCCCAGGAGCCCTGGTTACTTTTAGTAGGACAGTTATATTAGAAAGTAAAACCTTAGTAATATGCACACACACATATCCACTCACATCATATACTAAATTGTCACCCTTCTGTTGCTGTGGTAAAGGACCATGACAAAGGCAACTTCCAGAAGAGTTTCTTTGGGCTTATGGTTCCAGTGGCTTAGATGTCTATGATGTCATTGATCCAGAGCCTATGAAGGCATAGTTAGGGTATAGCAGCAGGAGAATCAGGCTGATAACTCACATCTTGAACTGAAACAGGAAGCAGAAAGACTGAACTTTGAATGGCATATGACTTAAAAACCTCAGGGACATATTTCTTCCAGTCACACCTCCTAAACCTATCCACACAGTCCTATCAACTAGAGATCAAGTATCCAAGCATCTTAGTCTATGGGAAGCATTCTCATTAAAACTGCCACATATACATATGTATAAAATCTACATATGTGCACATCTGTATATATATATGGAAGTATATATAATTGCCTGTTAGTATCCAGGTGAGATTGGTTTACATGACCTGCTGAGGATCCCAGAATCTTTCAAGACTCAAATCCCTACATAAAATGGTGTAGTGTTTGCATACAATCTATAACCATCTTCCTGTATACTTTAAGTCATTTGTAGACTATATTGCTTCATAAAGTATAAATTCTATAAATCGTTATTCTATTGTTTAGGGAATAGTATGAAAAAAGACCATACATATTCTATGCAGATATAATTTAGAAAACTGTGTTTAGCCTCAAACATCTTGGCATATGCAGGGAAGTTATACCTGAGGTTGAGGAATCATGAATTTGAGGACAGTCTATTTCTATATGGGGGATTTCAAGCTAGCTTGGGCTACATGGTAATGTCCTGTCTCCAGTCTTTAAATCTGTAGTTTTTTGGGGCTGGAAAAACAGCCCAGTGCTGAAGAGTACTAGCTGTTTCTACTGAGGACCTAGCATAATTTTCCAGCACTCACATGGAAGCTCACAACTGTCTGTAACTCCAGTTTCAGGGGATTTACACTCTCTTCTAGTCTCTGTGGCTACTGCATACACTTGGTGCACACACACACAATAAACACCCATAAAATAAAAATAAATAAATCTTTAAAAAAAAAAACCTTAAAAATCTGCTGGGTCGTGGTGGTGCACACCTTTAATCCCAGCACTCGGGAGGCAGAGCAGATCTCTGTGAGTTCAGGGCCAGCCTGGTCTATAGAGTGAGTTTTAGGAGAGGCTACACAAAGAAACTCTATCTTAAACCCCCTCTCCCCCAAAAAATCTGTAGTTGAGCCAATCCTTGATTGCAAAACCCACAGATAAAGGGGACTAACTGTAAATATTTTAGAAGTCATACAGTGTTGTGTGAGAGGCTTTTGCTGAACACACACACACACACACACACACACACACACACACACACACCTACCTATCCCAGAAAAGGAACTCAAAATAGACAAAATCCAACTTGCTGCGCCACTGTGTTTTTATTGGAGTAGCTTATAAGAATATGGATAAAAAGTTACTTGAAAAAGCAGGGATAGCTCAAAAAGGCAACTTTATCACCAAAAATCCCACTACCACATGGGTCATGGTTTAGGAAATTTGCAGCCTCAGCAGCACAATTTGCAGGCGGTTCAGTGGTTTCTCCTCCTCACCTGGGCTGCTCAAAGTCTCCTCGCCCCGCAGTTGTTTACTCCTTCTGGAAAACTGGGGGAGGGGCCTTAGAGAATCTTCCAAATTTCATTTTCCCAGAGGTGTGATGGCTTTGTTTACCTCCTGGGTCTCATGAACCTCCTGCCTTCTCCTGGAGGGAAAGTTTGAATGAGGGGGACATTGTAGGACACCATGCAAGCCACATCAAATTCATTCCTTTCTCATTCATCGCCACAAGCTCCTTCTTGCTTTCTCTCATTCCCTATGCTGCATGCTATTTTCTCCACGGTGAGACTCTTGAGTCTCAACAGCATCAGTGTGTACTTGCTCGATCCTGTCATATGTCTGTCATATTTTTAGAATTGATTTCCTCGGGGGCTGAGGATGTAGTTGCCTGGAGGAGCACTTGAACAGTTCTCCCCTCAACTGTATTTTTTATGGTCATTATTCCTTTAAGATGCAGTGGGTATAACTTGTTTCAGTTTGCCTTTAGTCCCATCTTTCCTATTTTTGTTTATTGATTTAATTTTAACCTTTTGAATTAATGTGTATTTTCAAATTTGAAATGAAAATTTATTGATTTATTTAATAAAAAGTTCCTTAAAAGAGAAAATATGCTAAAAAGTATATTCAGAGAATTATCCTTTTCTCTGGTATCCCTTTTACCTTCGTAAGTGGCCAAACTTGTTATTTCCTAGGTTATACTTACTATGGTTATTGTTTTTGTAAATCCAAGAAAATGTAATATGATTAATTATTTCTATTTCCCTTGAAAATACTATATACTATATATGGTCTTTTATAATTAGGGTTTTCAGTTGGCTATATTTCCTGGAACTAATTCTCCGTCAGCTTGTAGAGAGCGTCCTCCTTGCTCTTTAAAAAAAATAGCTACATGGTACTTCACTGTGAAAAAATATTTGTAGCTGCTTTTTAAAAAACTTTTGGGAGACCCTGTAGTAGCCCCTTTGTGATAAAAGTTCTGTGGTTTGTTGCTCATACTGTCCAATGATAACACAGACCACAGCTTTGTTCTAACCCTTCTCCTTTTTCAACAAGAGTCATTTACTATTTCAACCAAGTCTGGCTATTTCTATAGTATATCTTTTCATTTCCTATTATGAAGGTTGTTTGTCTGTTTGGTCTTTATTTGATGTTTTGAGATGGCCTTGGCTGAGCTTAGAAATTGTTCTATAGCTGAGGCTGCCCATTAGCTCATTGATCCTCCTGCCTCTATTTCTGAGGCGCTGGGATTACAGGTGTACCACTGTGCCCAGTTTACGTCTTGCTTTCTAGTTCTAATTTAGGCCTTTCCTACCTAACCTCAAATTAATTTTAAGTCTCCTGATCAGATCCCTTGTAAAGTAGTCATAACGAGATATCTAATTTCTGATCTCACTAAGTCCTTCATTAGAGGCGTATTATAAGGACTAAATTTTGTCTTCATTTTCCTTGTCCTTTCTTCTCCATTTTCAAGTAGAATTGTATTTTAAAATGGTATACCAATTAAGAAACAGATAACAGTAGAGAGAAAGAAAAAAAATAACCAACAGAATAGATTCGTTTTCCTGAAAGCTAGCCAAATGCTTGCTTTTAATCACATATATTTCCCCCCTGTTTAAGTCAATATTTGTAACCTAAAGATTATTTTCAAAAGCATTCTTGAGACCCTTTTCCGTGCTTGGAAAGAAAAAAATCTTTTGGACAGTAATATAATTGTGGACCACACGACCCCAGAAGAGTACGGGAATCAACCCCTGAAGAGCTAAAAGCCTGCCCTATCAGAGCAAGCAGATTCTGCCCTGGTTTGTCATGTCATCTTGACTTCTTTTGGAGTCCAGAAATTTTAGAAAAGACAGGTGCAGATGAGTTGGGAAAGCAGAGTAAAATAGCTCTGAAAACCTCACTATCGTACAGGGACAAAGGCTATATTTGGCCATTCGCCAACCCCCTCCCCACCACACACAGTGATACAGTGCACAGATCACTGGTGTAGGAGAAAAAGATCACAGGGTTCTACTTTGAGCACCATCTATGACCATGAGCGAGTCACTTTCCTTCCATCCTTGTTTGCCCTGTGAAATAAAGGAAATTCATGCCTAGGTGACCTTTCTGATCCGAGCTTTCATGTTGCTGAGCTCTGTACAGGAACTTTTCCGTTCCTGCAAGGCCGGGCTGAGTTTGCACTGAAAGGCCTGTAACTGTGAGGATTCTACCATTTGGAATAGTGCCCATTCTTGTGTTCTTTGCCAAAAAAAAGAGAGAGAGAGAGAGATAAATTAGCCTTGGTCAGTGGTTGCTAGATGCCAGAAGCCTGGCACAAGTCTAAGTGTGTGGCAAATAAATAAATAATGAAATCATAAGTACTGGTTCATCTCATTGTATCTTTCACGCCTCAGAAGAAACAAAATGAATTCACATCGGTGGATTATGATTGATTCTCGGTATTTTTTGTTGTTGTTGCTTTAATCCTAGGTTTTTTACCTATTGATTGATGCCTTCATTTTCCCCCACTTCACAGGACTGTATAATTCAGTGGATAGCTGGATGATTGTGCCCAACATTAAACAGAACCATTACACAGTGCACGGCCTCCAAAGTGGGACACGCTACATCTTTATTGTGAAAGCCATAAATCAAGCGGGCAGCCGGAACAGCGAACCCACCAGACTGAAAACAAACAGTACGTTGTAGAGATTCTAGGAGGAAAGACCCATTTTCCTCTCTGGCCAGGGAGGACAATTAGCCTGCGAGACTCCCATAGTAACGTGTGAGAACAGTAGCAGTGGGTGGGGGAGCTTCACTGTTGTGAGCTTTGTGTATGGGATTTGCTGGTGCCCACGGCTGTTTGTGGACTAAGATATAGAGAATCGTGCGTGGCTCTGAAAGAAATTAGGGAAGGGTTTTTATCTGCCTTCCACCCCTGTCTCCCATGCTTAAAGAGTATTATTAATGATGGTCTACAAAGCTGTACCACAGAGAAGCCATACCTGTTAGGAATGCTCTAGGTCACAACTGATGGAGTTTAACAGGCATTTCCCAGTAGCTTAAGTGAATAGTGGTCTTTGTTTGTTTGTCTGTCTGTTTTTTAACTGCCTGTCATACATTGCAAGAAGTTTGAGGGCAGCCTGTTGATGGCTAGTATAGCAGCTCTGAGATCTCGTGGAAGGCTGGAGCTCCTTCTTTATGTCTTTGCTTATCCACAAGGCCACCAGATAGCCAGCACAGCTGCTGATGCCCTGTTTCCCTTAAGACAGGAAGAAGAAGAGAAAAGTTGGTAATCTTTTAATCAAGAAAACAGAAGCTTAACTGGACATTTCTTCCAATCTGTTTGACTTCAGCTTCCTTCTTATTAGTTATCCTTGTAGCAAGGAAGGCAGGAAGACTGAGTAAGAGAGAAAAATAGAAGACAGTGGTGCTGTATTAGTACGTGGTGTCTGTCACAGAAGCATACTGTATACTAACGCTCTTGCCGCACCCAGGACCTGGGCCCTGGGACAGTGCTTTTGTCATATGGTTGTGAGTTGCTGCAGTGAAGCAATGCTAGCTCTCATCATCGATGGTGGAGCAGCCACTGCAGCAAAGTTGCCAGACTCTATGCACACCCCAATTTCAAGAAAACCAGCATCTCCTGTTGCTGAGCTCTTCTCAGTTTCTTTTCTGTTCTGAGCAATCGCCTCATTAACACAGAGAGACTTTCCCACCTCAACCTTTGCAACATTCTTTAAAAGCTACCCAAATCCCAACCCACTCACTGAAACAAACCAAGAGGATGTGAGACTTTGCGTGGTCCCTTTTAATTTCATAATACATGATGGGAACACTTTATAAGCTCCCATGTGCTTGGAATATGGCTTCTAGCATAAGGCTGATATGAGAGACGGACAGTTTTCACACAGAAGGAAAATAATGTCTGCATGAAGGCTATTTTGGTGTGTGTGTGGGGGGGTGACTTACGGTCTTACTTAATTGCAAATTGTGTCATCTTGCCTACTTCCTTAATATAATCCAAACTGCAGCTGACCTGCCCTTACCAGAGGATCAACATCATATTGAGGCTCCTCTGTTAATGATGATCCTGGAGGGGAAAAGCACAGTTCTTAAATGCTTTATCATACTCTCCCGCTTTCTTCTACCTTTTTCAGGCCAACCCTTTAAACTAGATCCCAAAATGACTCACAAGAAGTTGAAGATCTCTAATGATGGATTGCAGATGGAGAAGGATGAAAGCTCTCTGAAGAAAAGCCATACCCCGGAGAGATTTAGTGGAACGGGGTGTTATGGGGCAGCAGGAAATATATTCATTGACAGTGGCTGCCACTACTGGGAGGTGGTCATGGGTTCTTCAACATGGTGAGTGGATATTTTTTTCTTTCCTTCCCCCCATCTTCTCTACTGATAGGTTCCCAGGAGATTCCCTTCCACAGCACAACTAAAATAGCAATAAGTCAAAGTTAAGATGTATGCAATACGAACCAGTCCTAGAAAACTTGGCTGGCTTTTAAAAGATAAAATCATGGGAAATATAGTGAGCTAGGCGACGGGAAATGATGTATCACTGTAATTGCTGGCTCTGCAAGCTCCGGTGATGCTATCATTATGTATGTAAATGTAATTTTTTTAAAGGAACAAGCACATAGTCACTCATAAGTCCTAAAGAACGTCTATCACAACTCATATCATTCCTAAGTATTTTTCTGTCTTCCCCATGGTCTCAGGTATGCAATTGGTATTGCCTACAAATCAGCCCCGAAGAATGAGTGGATTGGCAAAAATGCCTCCTCCTGGGTCTTCTCGCGGTGCAATAGTAACTTCGTGGTGAGGCATAACAACAAGGAAATGCTGGTGGATGTGCCCCCACAGCTGAAGCGGCTTGGTGTCCTCTTGGATTATGACAACAACATGCTGTCTTTCTATGACCCAGCTAACTCTCTCCATCTCCACACTTTCGATGTGACCTTCATTCTTCCAGTTTGTCCAACATTCACAATCTGGAACAAATCCCTAATGATCCTGTCTGGCTTGCCTGCCCCAGATTTTATTGATTATCCCGAGCGGCAGGAATGCAACTGCAGGCCTCAAGAATCCCCCTATGTGTCCGGGATGAAAGCTTGCCATTAAGTGTCAAGAGAGCATGTAATTCACTGGCTCTCCAGTTCAGCACTCTTCCCCTCCTAAGTCTCCATTAGTGTTCCATATGAGATACAAAAGAAAGTTCATTGGAAGCACCCGTCCTAAATAACTAGATATTGTAGATTTAATTTTTGTACATTAAAGCTTATGTTTGAATTTATGTATTGAGTTACTCAGAACAAATTATCTGAATAGTCTGGGTTTATGCCACTGGGGAAGAATTTTAGAGACTGTCTCTGTCATCATTGGAGAATTAAAAATTCCCAGTGATTTGGGAGTATAAATGATACTGGAAGGAATTAGCCTTTCTAGCAGTGGCTAGTTTGACCAGGTAGAATTTGCACAGTGTCTAATTATTGCATATTATATGTTAATAAACTAACAATCGAGGTGTTATGAGAATATCATACATGTGTATATATAATATATAAAATGACTGAATTCATTTTATGAGCAAAATGACATAGTTCATTTTATCTATTACATATATACAATAAATCTTAATTTGCTCATTTAAGTGAGAAACATATTGAGAAGGAAAATAAATTATACTGCCCATTCTTATTTCCGAGATGAAACATCACAGTAGACTGACATTGTTCTCTTCCTCCCTTTGTAGCCTTCCTTTCTCCCCTCTTGTCACACGTACAAACACATGCAATCACAACGCAGGAAGTGAGAAGAGCTCTTGGTTAGATTAGGAGAGATCTGTGGACAAGATGATATAAGAGATGCTAATGCTACATTGAAAATTGATTCCAGTAGAAGTGTGCCATGTAGCATAATTTCATTAATATTATTTAATAGAGATTTATTTGAATTATTAAAAATTGTCATAGAATATTTCAAAGAAATATAGTTTTGTTACTCTCAAATGCATAGTTATTAGACTTAAGCTAAAAAATAGAGTTCCTTAATGGAGTTTCTTCAGAACTCGCCTTACTTGGTCAGTAAGAATAGTGTTACAGGTTCAACAACTCTATGAATACAAATGTATTTTCAGATGGAGCACTCCTGAAATGCTATTTTCCATGATAGGATCAATACTCATTCTTTTGTGAATTTGTTTACGTTATTCACTCGCTCAGCATCCCCTTCATGACAAATAGCACAAATCCCATCCTACTTTTCACCAGACTAGTTAAAGGAAATTAAGCTTCATGGCTTGTGATTTCACCAATTATTTTGCAAAGATTGGAAACGCCAGAGAAATAGAATCTTCTCCCAGGAGCAAAGTCCACTCCTTGGCAGTTGTAGTTGTACGGCTGTGTGGCTGTAAAACGACAGTAGTAGCCATTACCTGGATTGTATGTAGCCTCGACGCAGTGTCAAATGTTTGCCCCTCTTTCTACCAACATGGCAGATTCTTATTTATTAATTTGTTCAATGAACTGTTAGATGCCACACTACAACTGCAAGAGTGCACATATTACTAAAATTCAGTCCCTGCTGCCAAATGACTCACTCTTATGCATAAGAGACAGCATATCATTGTAAATTTCGCCTAATAACACTTATGGAGTGTTTGCTATCTACCATGAAAAGCAAGATCAGCGGCCAGACAAAAGGAAGGCTCAGATTTACAAGTCAAGTGGCAAAGTCAGTTCCTTTGACTTTAAATATCATATATACCTTACGGCTCATCAGGGAATAGGCAACCTCGGTACAGCTCAGCAGTGCTGGTAACAAGCTCATGGTATTAGAAGGCTCCCAGCCTTGAGACTGAGATAGTCCTAGCTTCTCTGCCAGCTAACTAGCAGTGTGACCTCAGGAAAGCACTTCTCCGAGCCTGTTTCCTCTTCTGTAAAATGATTTTCTGTTATAAGGCTGGTGCGAAGGTTTATAAAGGTAGTGTGTATCAGTTGCCTAGCACGGCACCTGGCATCCACTATGTGTGCCACCAACATACCCAACACTGGTCATTTGTTTTTTATGCCCTTTTAAGTTTTAGTTCTAGGAACAAAGCTTTATTCCCCATTCTACTTTTGACTGCAGCCTGGAACTACCTTTCCCTCAGTTAACTAGTGACCTCCCAAACTGGTATATGTGGCCCTATGGGGCACTCCCCTGGCACACTGAGCACCCCTTCTCAGCAATAATCACATTGTATGATAGTATTTCTCAGAAGGTCATTTTCAGAAGGCCATCCTCAGAAGACCCATTTTAGAACCACCCTCCGTGATTTGTTCCTTGAAACAATTTATGCTTGGCTTTTACTCCTGATATATTTAATTACACTATCTGGAAACATAAAAAAAACTTAGATTTGTGAAAAACTTCTCAGGTTATTCTGATTCACACAAAAGTTTAATGTATAGTAATTCTCTTTCCGGCTAGAGTGGGAATACCTTGAGGGTAAGGACCGTGGCTTTTGTTGTTGCTGTAATT